CACTCGTCCGGATACCCGGTGTCCACCATCGCGACAACTGCGACTATTGCTTTCTAAAACCGTAAACGCCAACTAAAAATAATAAAATAATAACGATAATAATACTACTACTACCTAGTATTTCTACTGCTACTACTACTAMTAATAATAATAATAATAGCAAGACGACTATATGGGGACGCGACGCGCTCGAGGACGAGTGAGAGTTCTTCCGAGACGAGACTAGACGACTGCGGCAGTTTCGCCGGGGCCAGAGTCCCACCACCGCGGGAATGCATTTCTACATATTATAATGGTGTGATATTATTATCATTATTATTATATATATAAGTTACACATTATATTATATTATACGCGCGGAATTGAACGTAGACCGCCATCGCCACTGCCGCCGCCGCGTACGATATTAACGTGCCCGTCGCGTATTACCGTAAGATTTGTTCGTTCAAATTTTTTTTTTTTATATTTCACTTCCCGGCCGACGCGAGTAAATAAATATACGCGTATACCTACGTGAAAGTGGTCACGACCCGGCGGGTTCGGGTTTCATGTGTACCTATATAATATATATATTGTATATACGCATGTACAAGTTTAGTATACTTTTCGTTTCACTTTATAACGGTCCTTGAAAACTATGCACGTAATAGCAATCTCCCCTCGCAAATTTTATCAACTACGCGTTTATTAAAATGTACGTTTAAAACGAAAAACCTAAAATACCTACTAATTATCTCGTATTAATATGACTATACATTCTACGAATCTTCTATGAAAAATAATTTGTACCWACCTATATCTTCGCTTTAAAAATTCGTGTTAGGAGTATTATGTTAAATATCAATACGTTTGAAATATCATCAACTCCTGGACAGTTAATTTTTAAATGTTGATCATGATTTTTAATTTTTAAGTACTGTGTTTATTACAAATATTATTATTTATTATTTTGTTCTTAATTTTAGCATTTTWAAATTTATTTATTTGTATTTGATCGGTTTCGTCATAATTTATCAAGCTCGTTTGAATAATTTAAGATTATTAATATCTACCTACAAAACGCGTTGTTCTTTGTACACAATCTCTATTACGATTTGTGTCTTTGGTGGTACTTTCAATTAAGTACGTTCGATCAGTTACATRAGGTACTCTTCAGTTATGTGATTTGTGACACATATTGATTTTGGTTTCGTGGTATTAAAGAATAAAGTAAAAAAAACAGTTGAACCATATGTCGATCTTAAACCTAATTTATGCATAACTAAGTTAA